CCATGCTGACCAGATATCCTCAATTAATCTAGTCCCATTTGCCAGTATTTGGCCCATATCCCTCTAAATCCTTCCTATCCATGTACCCATCCAGATGTTTTTAAGTATTGTACTCCACCACTTCCTCTGGCAACTTATTCCATACACGCACCACCCTATGCGTGAAAAAGTTGACCCTTACGTCCCTTTTAAATTTTTCCCCTTTCACCTTAAACCTATGTCCTATAATTTTGGACTCTCCTGCCCTGGACAAAAGACCTTGGCTATTCACGATGCTACTCATGATTTTATAAACTTCTATAAAGTCACCCCTCAGCCTCCGAAGCTCCAGGGAAAATAGCCCCAGCCTATTCAGCCTCTCCATATAGCCCAATCCCTCCAAACCTGGCAACATCCTCGTAAATCTTTTCTGAACCCTTTCAAATTCTTTGTAATGAAAACGGTGTGTGAATAAGTTTTACATTTGGAACACACATCTGTACGAACAAACATACGAGTTAAAAGCGGGGGTAGGTCACTCAGTGTTCAAGCCTGTTCCACCATTCAATAAGATCATGGCTGATCTGATTACTTCACATTCCCAGCCACCCCTGATAGCCTTTCAGTCCCTTCTGAAACAAGAATCTATCTCCCTCTGCCTTAAAGAAATTCAAAGACTTTTGGCTGAATCTTATATTTTGTTGTCTAAGTGTCAGTATCATCAAGGGATTCTCTCCATGAGACCTAGCAAGTTACTTTGCCACATCTTACCATTAACTACAATAGCGCCTCTATGCATCACATACCCAACTCACCCAGTTCTAGCCCCATTGCACCATTCACCATAGCCAAACAACCCACCACCCTGCCTGAGTATCCCAGAATGGACCAGAATCCCTGGCACCGGTGCCATCTTTAAAAACCCATTGTGCTCCCAGACAATCACAGTGAGTCCAGAACAGCCCTACATGGTTCCTGATCCACACATGGCAGACAAGGGAATATTGACACCCTATTTTACAAGCAGGGGCTTGGAGATCTTGTGAACAGGGTGGTGTCAATGTAGAACATCCTCTTGCCCCCTGGATCAGCAGAGGAGGTGACAATACCAGATCATGCCAACCTGGTCCGCAGTTGTGAGCTGGGCCAGTGCAGTCTCAGCTATCTGGAAGATAACACAGTAGCGCCGCAAGAAAGTCAATAACCTTCTCAAATCAGTCAGTGTATGCACCACCATCCACTTTCCAATGCCTCACACTGACTCAATCTCTTCTACTGTACCTACCTCTCACCAAGTTCATTGCCTGCAATATCTTCAACACTTACTCTCATCCACCCTGAGCCCTACATCACTTACCCTCTGCATGCCCTCAGCACTGCCAGTGCACTGGCTCGGGATGCCTTCCCACCTGCACAAGCAGTCACAGCTGCGCCACCCAATTTTATTTCCCGTAATACCTGCCTCTCTCTCATTCCAGGAGAAAAACAGCCCACAAATTGTGGAGAAAGTCAAAAGGGTGATGGACTGATGCACATTTTGCTCCTTGATTTATGAGGAGGTGATCTGGATTCTGACTACTTCAAGCAACTGACACACTGCATTGAAACCCTGGACCGGAATTGGAGGCTATCCTTGACTTACTATGCAAGGACACCCTGAGCGAAGACCATCTCCCTGAGGGCTGCTAACAGCCATGGCAAAATTGCTGGCTTTGAGTCTTTGCTAAAAAGCATGGCAAAGCAGCAGGCTTGGGAGCTTGCCGTTTCTGCAGAAACGCAGAAACGGGGGGCAGGGTCACATGGAGCATGCAGGTGGGCTCAGAGTGTGTGAGCACTGTTACCGGAAGTACACAGCCCAGAGGTGCAGCCTAGTCTAGTCTATGAGTTGTGAGCATCTCCCAGAGTGCAGAATGTCATTGCTGCAACATTACCATGACAGCGCTGAGTCCAGAAGCACATTGTAAGTGGATTGAAGATGTTGCAAGAGGGTTCTTAGAGATTGGCATATGTAAGATGCCAATATCTATAGATGTACGGTGCATATGGCTGGTACCAATGGAGCAAGCCCTAACTTATTGATGTCTGGTGTCCAACTTGGATGTCTTTTGGAATGAGCAGAGAACTGAAGTTTACTTCAATGTCATGAATGTTTATGTCTGGTTTGCTTGAAGCAGCTGGCATATTAGAAATCTGCATATTAATGAGGTGAGATTTGCAGTTGATAAGGTCATTAAAAAGCAATAATCCCCCTTCAGAGGTAATTCACTGCTGCCTAGCAAGAATCCCAGCTTGAAGCCCCGGTGTAGTTAAAAGATGAAGTAAGTTGGTCCCAACATTAAGATAAGCCTTGCTGAACCTCTTGTACAATTCTGCCACCACATTTTCTGTCAATAGCCCACATCGTTCAGGGCCCTACAAATTCCGCAACCCTCTCTTCAACGCTACCTTAAATAAGAAACACCTAGTTTTCAAACAATGATCGCTAGTTCTAGATTCTCCCATAAGAGGAAACAGATCCATATCCACTATATCAAGAGACTTCAGGAATTTTGTATGTTGAATAAGTCACCACTTATGCTTCTAAACTCTGGCAGATACAAGGCTAGTTTTCCAAGCTTTACTCACAAGACAACCTGTCATTCCAGGTATTAATCCAGTGAGAAGTTAGCAGTGAAATCCAAAAGCAGTTTCATAAGAATTTTCTTATTCAAAGATTAAACCTGTAGTCAAAATTGAACAGCTTCTTAAAGCCTCACAGAACATATTACTTGGTACAATGATAAGGATGGTGTAGGGACACTTACATAAAAGATGATTAACTTCTTAACTGTTAAAATTGTATTTCTATATATTCAACAGTAAACCAATTAGTGATTGGCATTAATTCATATTGATACTTTTGAGTGAACTATTTTGACACAAATGAACAATTGATTTCAGGTTTACCCCTTTTCCGCATCTCAACAGAGCTATCATATTTCTGATTTAACTGCATGGTTCATTTACCATGAACTTTTTCAATTAGCAGAAACAGAATGAATCATTTTAAAGAAAATCTTTCATAAAGGAAATATTTTATACAGATACAAGGGCAGGTGCTGCGTTGCAACTGGAAAATGTGGGACCACACAGACACCAGTGTAATCCGAAACAAATGCACCTACAGTGACTTGAGGAATCTCAGCTCAGAGCCAAAGGCTAAGCTACAAACACTGCAAAATTCCTGAAATTTATTCAAGGAAGTCAAAAACAGGCCATTTGAAAATCCTAATACAATCAGGCAGAGTCAACATAGTTTTCAGAAAGGAAAATCATATTCAACCAATTTACTGAAGTTCCTTGAGGAAGTAACAAGCAATCGTTGGATATGGATGTGGTGTACTTAAAAGCAGCTCAGAGAAGGTTCACTCAACTGATTGGAATAATGTTGGTATGTTATGTGGAAGGGTTGGGCCTGTATCCACGGAAGTTTAGAAACATAAGAAGTGATCTTATTGAGGCACATAACATCTTAAAATTACTTGAAAGGATAATTCTCCTTCTGAGAGAACTTGGGATCTCAGTTGAAAAGTTATGACAGATGAGGTGAAGATTTTCCTGCAGCTATTTTTTCAAGAATGGATATGGGAAAATACAAAATTCCAATGAATAGGACAGCCTGAGTTCTGGATTTTGCACAGCCCAGCTCCAGATAACTTCCACTCCAGATACAGATCTGGTGCTGGTCTGCACAATCAGCCAGTTAAGACACCAGAAATAAAAACAGAAGTTGCTGGAAAAGCTCAGCAGGTCTGGCAGCATCTGTGAAGTAAAATCAGAGCTATCATTTCGGGTCTAATGATCCATCCTCAGAAATCAAACATTAAATCTGATTTTTCTTCACAGGTGCTGCCAAACCTGCTGAGCTTTTTCAGCAGTTTTTGTTCCTGATTTACAACATCCGCATTTCTTTCGATTTTTTAGTTAAGACACCACGTTCATTCTTCAGATCTCTTCCTAGCATCAGCGAAGATGCACCTTCAGCCAAATCCAGCACAGCTACTCCAAGATCCTAAAGCTATTTGTAATTTGACAATTAATTTTACCAGTTAATATGGTGATCTTGCTACTTTCACACAGTCAGATCCAGACTAATTGACAGGCCCAGAAAGGAGAACAAACCATCGCATATTCCTCCAATTCAGCTTGCTGACTTCTGACAGCCCTACTCATTTAACTGCACAAGTGTACAAACACACCTCCAACCTGACCCCCACACCCTCTCCAATCGGTATAAATTATAATCATTTCCAAATGCTTTCTGTTCTGATGAAGGGTCACTGCACTCAAAAAGGTAACTCTGTTTTTTTCTCCACGGATACTGCCAGGATTTCAAATCTATTCTGGTCTGGGTTCATTAAAGCTAAAATGTCTTTTTGGTAGCACTTGCCAAAACACACACACACACACACACACACAAAAACCTCTAAAGGGTGACCTAACCAATTTCTTACCAAGATTCAGTACGTGGGCTTATGTGATCTGTTCTCTGCTCATAAACCAGCAGTTTCAAAATGAATGAACTGAAAATGGAGATTCCAGGAACATTTTTGTTTTCCAATTCTTTCCATCCCAGGATTTTGAACTGTAAGATTCTGTACCTCAATTTCCTATATTATCTGTACAGTTTTAAACCCCAAGCTCTGTGTCATCTCAATACCAAATGAATAATTTCTTCTTTTGAACACCTTTCAGGTTTGGCTTTCCCATTTCTACAGGCCTTGGTACATCATCTCGGTTTCTCAATCAAAAAGCCATTTTGTTTTACACCACAGAAGCATCATGTTACAAGTATAGAAATTAAAAATCAATATAACCTGGAGAAATAGATTGATTGCTTTCATTCAGCAGATACAAACTGCAATGCTATTGAGTACACATGACATTTAATGAAGAATAAAAGCATTCTCAGATGTCTGATGGTTTATGATATGCAGTCACATGAAACGCAGTCTAAGTATCCAGTGAGAGTCATTGCTTACCTGAGTGTCCCCTAGGGTGGTGGCTGGAGGCAGACAGCAACTTACAGCAAAGCATTAACACAGAGACGAGCAGCAGCCAGTGAGTGAGGAGCATCGATTTTGCACAGAGTCTCATCCTTGTAGAGACAGAATAAAAACACAAATAGTGAAAAATAACTTGTGGCCATTTGGAAACTGATAAGCAGTGTTTGAAATATTAATGGGAACGTTCGGACACTATTCACGGACAATGCATGGAAAATCTGATATCCTTTTGCCCACTAATGTACATCTTTGGTAGAGTCAGAAAAAGGCTCAACAGTTAGCTGAGACCTACACTAGCCCAGCATGTGCACATCTGCACTGGGTTTACACCCACTACGCTTCACAGGACAAGTCAGCACAGTGGCTCAGCAGTTAGCGCTGCTGTCTTACAGTGCCGGGGACTTGGGTTTGATTCCACCCTCCAGAAACTGTCTGTGAGGAGTTTACACATTCTCCCTGTGTCTGCGTGGGTTTCCTCCGGGTGCTCCAGTTTCCTCCCACAGTCCAAAGATGTGCAGGTTAGGTGGATTGGTCATGTTAAATTGCCCATAGTGTCCACAGATGTGCAAGTTAGGTGGGTTAGCCATGAGAATTACAGGGATAGGGTAGAGAGTGGGTCTGGATCGGATACTCCTCAGAGGTTTTGTATGGACAGGATGGGCCAAATGGCCTGTTTCCACGCTGTAGGGAAACTATGATTCTAAGTCCCTCCTCCTTGAGGACCATATCATCAGGGAAAACATCCTCCCTCTGTTCTCCAGTTTATCAACAGGAATTGGGAAGAAATTTATACTACACCTTCTGACATGCTGATCAGTTACAGAAGGGTGCCAGCCTAGGAGTTGCTGACCGACTATAAATAAGTCTTCACCCAACTAAAGGGAGGAGACATTGGTGATATAGAACTTAAAAATGAAAGGAACTTTATAAATCAGCCTGTGGAATGATGGTATTAAATAATTCATTAATTTCAATGAATTACAAAAGTTGACACACTTTATTGGCTGATGATGCATTACCAATTATTTGGTACTTACAAACGTATATGTGGACATTCTTTTCTAATAGGTCCACGTACTTTGTTGGCATCAGATATGAAAAATTAAGAGAAATATGATTACTTCTTGTTTGATTATTAGGATCATCTTATAATTAATCAGGGAGAATATGTTAATGCCTGGCTAGTTACAGAATAGGGGTAGTATTTATTTCTGGGTAGTGTTAATGTGGGAAAGTGGAGAGCAAACAATTGATCATTACATTTACTACAATTTTCAACCACAGCAAGTTCAGCCTGTGTTCAATTTTGTTGATGAAAATCAGTAGTAACTAAATTCAAACACATAAAACCGCTTCAGATATAGACAGAAATAGTTTATTTTACTGATTTATGTGTGCAAGATTGTGGCAATTGAACTTGTGAGATGAAAGCGATGCAATTTGACACATAAACATCATTGTTAAAGTTTGGATTTCAACCAATGATATGTACGTGCTGGCCACTTTTGTGAAAGGCTAAAAAAAAGGTCTGAGAATCCATAAGGCCATAAGACAGAGGAGCAGAGATTAGGCCATTCAGCCCATCGAGTCTGCTCCACTGTTCAATCATGGCTGATAAGTTCCTCAACTCCATTCTCCTGCTTTCTCCCCATGACCCTTGATTCCCTTGACAATCAACAACCTATCTATCTCTGTCTTAAATATACTCAATGACCTGGACTCTACAGCCTTTTGAGGTTGTGTGTTCAAAGATTCACCACACTTTGGCTGAAGAATTTTCTCCTTATCTTTGTTCCAAAAGGTCTTCCCTTTACTCTAAAGCTGTGCTCTCGGGTCCTAGTCTCTCCTAATAATGGAAACCTCTTCCTAACATCTAGTCTGTCCAGACCATTCAGTATTCTGTACGTTTCAATTGGATCCCCCCTCATCCTTCTAAATTCCATCGAGTATAGACCCAGAGTCCTCAAACACTCCTGATATGTTAAGCTTTTCATTCCTGGGATCATTCTCGTGAACCTCCTCTGAACCCGCTCCAGGGCCAGTACATCCTTCCTGAAATATGGGGTCCAAAATTGCACACAATACTCCAAATGTGGCCTGACCAAAGCCTTATAGAGCCTCAGTAGTACATTCTTGCTTTTATATTCTAGTCCTCTCAGAATAAATGCCAACATTGCACTTTCCTTCCTAAATATTGACTCAACCTGCAAGTTTACCTTGAGAGAATCCTGGACTAGAACTCCCAAGTCTCTTTGCACTTCAGACTTCTGAACTTTTTCCCCATTTAGAAAATAGTCCATACCTCTATTCTTCTTACCAAAGTGCATGACCTCACATTTTCCCACATTGTACGCCAGCTGCCACTTCTTTGGCCACTCTCCTAATCTGTCCAAATCCTTCTGCAGGTTCCCCACCTTCTCAATACCAGCTGTCCCTCTACCTATCTTTGTATCATCTGCAAACTTAGCCAGAATGCCCACAGTTGCTTCATCTATATCATTAATGTGTAAAGTGACAAGTTGTGGTCCCAACACTGAACCTTGCAGAACACCACTTGTCACCGGCTGTCATCCTGAGAAAGACCCTTTTATCTCCACTCTCTGCTTTCTGCCAGACAGCCAGTCTTCTATGCATGCTAGCACCTTGCCTTTAACACCATGGACCCTTATCTTACTCAGCAGCCTCCTGTGCCACACCTTGTCAAACGCCTTCTTGAAGTCCAGGTAGATAATATGCATTGGCTCTCTTTGGTCTAACCTGCTCGTTACTTCGTCAAAGAATTCTAACGGATTTGTTAGGCATGACCTCCCCTTGATGAAGCCATGCTGACTTTGCCCTATTTTACCAGGCGCTTCCAAATATTCAGAAATCTCATCTTTCACAATGGACTCCGAAAAACTTTTACACAACTGAGTTTAGGCTAATCAACCTGTAATTTTCAGTCTTTTGCCTTACTCCCTTTTTATACAGGGGTGTCATATTAGCGATTTTCCAGTCCTCTGGGACCCTCCCTTCTGGAGTCATTTCCTGAACAGACCTAATTGAGTGCATGTCATAGAACAAATGACCACAAGGCCCCTGGAGTATCAGTAAAATATTGCTTATACTGTGGAGTTTATGATAGGGAGTGTCAACATTGAAAGATTTGAGTTTGGTTTAGGTTTAGAATAATCAAGGATAGGATTTCAGCTTAGAAACCTCAGATAAATAAAAGCTTATTTAAAATAATTTTCTTTTGGGTAATAATCTTCTGTTTTATTGTTAAAGATAATTTACAAGCTTGCGTACCTATGCCTTAGTGAATGACCACCAGGTTAACTAAAATATAGATACAATCAATAAGGATAGATTTCACTTGTCCAGTAGTAACATCAGCTGGGATGGTAATGCTTGTTAGGTATTATGACAGCTGAAAACGAGGATAGAGAAGAGGAAATCCTGGATACAGCTGCATCTGTTAGCAACCAGTCAAAGAACACCTTCAATCCCCACCAAGATAATTATGAAAAATATTTCTTCCTTGAACAGAGGTCCAACCAGTCCCAATCATTATTACTCTCCTCCACCTGACTGAACCTGAATTTGCATTGAACAACTCCTTCAATGTCACTCACTTCCTCAGTATATCAGCTAGCTCAGCATTCGTGCCTGCATAGTTGCCCATATTAAGATTTAAAATACTAATCTTAGCACTAATATTCTCCCTTGCAAACTAGATATAAAATTTCAATGATACTGTGATCACTGCTACCTTGGGGTGCCTTTGGTCTGAGGTTATTAATGAATTCTATCACATTACACAGTAACAAGTCGAATAGAACCTGCTCGCAAGGTCAGTTCCAAAACGTGCTACTCAAAGAAACTATCAAACTATCTGAACAAACAAACTATCCTGGAGACATTCTTCATCCAGGCTCCTGCTACCAATCTGATTTTTCCCAGTTTTCCTGTTTTAAAGTCACCCATAATTATTCCCATGCCTTTATTACAAGCACTCATATCTGTCCCACATTGTGATAACTGTTACGGAGTCCGTAGAGCACTCCCACTAGTGATTTCTTACGAGCAGGAAAGCTGACGTTTCGGGTCGAGACTCTTCTTCAGAAAAATGGAGAAGAAGGGTCTCGAACCAAAACGTAAGCTCTCCTGCTCCTCTGAAGCTGCTTGGCCTGCTGTGTTCATCCAGCTCTACACCGTGTTATCTCAGATTCTCCAGCATCGGCAGTTCCTGCTATCTCAGTGATTTCTTACCCCCACTTTTCGCCATCGCCATTCAAACCATTCTACATGAACTAAGGTCATCTCTAAATATCATGTGAATGTCACGTTTGATTAACAGTGCTACCCCTCCACATTTACCTAGCTTTTTTTTTCCATAAATATCATTTATCCTTCAATATTCAGAACCCAATCCTTGTCATCGTGAAGTCATGTCTCCATAACGGCTATCAGATTGTAGTTATTTACTTCAATGTTTCTTCAGTGTTGCTGAGTCAAAAACCCTGAAGTGCCCTCTCTAACAGTACTGCCCACACCAAACTGCCTGCAGCGATTTAAGTACCCCATACCTTCTCAAGGGCAACTAGGGATGAGCAATAAATGCTGGCCTAGTCAGTGACACCTACTCCCCATGAACATTTTTTAAGTGCATTAACAATTAATTTACTTTAATAGAATGTTCCAGGCATTCACAGCTACAGCCTTTCACTTGTCTATTTTTCTTCTTTGAAACATCATGATCTCTGTTGTGTTCTTAGGTTTCCTCTCTTTCTCCCAATCTCTGACCCTTATTTCCTATATTACTATTTTCCTTTCTTACGTTGTCCCTATTATTTAATATAGCACATCTTTTCATATGATTTATTAACTTTACCACTAAGGACAATACTTGAATAGAATAGAAAAGACCTTAACTACTTCCCAGAGACTAATTGAATTCCTCTGTGTAGTACAGCAAGGAAGAATTCCATGCAGTTCCATTGAATCCAGCTATGTCTCTGGTTGTCTGCCACAGATCCCATCGTCATCTGGTCCTCTGAGTGCCTGTCTAGTGGCTCTCAACTCTCCTGCTCCTCAGCGACTTCCCACTCA